ATACCCCCCCCCATCCCCAAAAGTTTCTCAGCGGATTTAGGCTGTACTCGGCAAGCGCAGTACAGACCCCAACTCAGATTTGAAAAAAAATCAGTGGATGGTTGCTTTCTGACTAGTCGGCCGACCGCCAATCGGTCGGCCCTACTGGTCGGCTGCAATACGGTCGGCTGTCGGGGTCAGCGGTCGGCAGGGAGGCAACTGTGATCAATGCCTTTTATTTGCTTGTTAAGACACAAGGAAAATTTGTCATGCCTTCATTTGCTGAAAAATAGGGTTTGCCCGGTTTTGCAATCAAGGCCACTAGTATGGCCTGACAAACTGATCGAACTTCAGTGGGATGATGGATCACGATCTGGGTGGATTGGATTCGATAACCAAACTGTTGCTACTGTGCTGTACAGAGGGAGTTCTAAATATAGCTTCTTGGAGGACTACTGCAAGGCACTGTGGAACGACTTCCAGCCATTCTCAATCGCTGTAGATCTTGCAAATGAACGGTTGGTATCCCCTCCTTGTGTTCGTTTTGTCCCTTATCGCCCGCATTTTGTTGGTTGGGAATCAGTGGACCCAAGGCAGAACGGCAATGCCGTAATCATTTCGGTTTTTTTCCAACATCCTCCTCGGTGAGAGTAAAGCCTCGCACTGTAGTGTGCGTATCATTTTATTTAATACTTTAGTAATTTCTTTCAAAATTTTTAAATAAAAAATTTCAGTCAATTCCATTCCCTCTGCGGATCAAGGCAGTCGACCCTCATTAGGAAGCTGCATCTTCCGAAACCTCCTGACGTGCGTAGAGGAGGCAGCTCTAGCAAAATGCGTAGAGGTCTTCCACCTTAGGAGGATGATGCACTCATGGGTGTTATGCCTTCGATCTTCTCTCATTTGAGTTTCTGATGATTCTAAGGAAGAAGCTCTTTGCTTTAAAGTGTCGATGTGTCTTGCATTGTTGACCATGGTATCCATCAACTGTAGTCGTGTCGAGCAATCCCGCTAACGGTCTGTGTCGCCGTGGCTGTCTCTTCCTCCGTTCCTCATTCCCTCATTTGGTTCAATTCCATGGAATCATTTCAAATTAAAAAAATAGAAAAAAATATATGGGTCATGTCACTGCAGACCTCTCCTCGGCTTCAGTGTTTAAAACATAAGGAGTTGAAACCATGGTAACCCCGGACCCGGACACCGGACACTTTCGGACTGTCTTCCGGACCAGTCCGGACTGTCCGGTGATCCGGGCATCACCGGACACCGACATCACTGGACACCGGACAGTCCAGACCGGTCCCCGGGGTGCAAAAATGTCCGGACCCCCAAAAAAAAAAAACGGGGGTGGGGGGGAGGTTGGTTGGGGGTGTTGGCAGGCACTTACCTGCTTTGCACTCTGTAGTTCAGGCAGCAGAGCACGTGTCTTGCAGCAAATCAACCAGCACGTTTAACTAGCGGACATGCAGAGTTGCAAACAGTGCAAAGCAGGCACAAGACTAAAGAAACAGAGAATTTAAATAAAAAAAAAGTATGATTAACTTTGAACTTTGAACTTTGGATTTAGTAATTTAAGTTCATAACTTCATATATAACTTAAAAGTTCGAACTTTGCAGTTCAATTTGGAAAGTCAGAGTCTTCAGACTGGCAGCACTGTCAGTGCTCTCTCTCTCTCTCTCTCTCTCTCTCTCTCTCTCTCTCTCTCTCTCTCTCTCT